TACGTCAACGGGGCAGTACACACATTTTCTCAGCTTTGTGCCCTTGAAATACAAACGCAGTCTGAAAAAATGCTTGGTTCATAGAGCAAGAGAGATTTGCTCGCACGAATGTCTTGACCAGGAACTTAACAATATTAGACGGTTGCTAAGTGAGAATGGTTATCCTGAAAAGTTTATTGATAAGAATATGAATCTGAAACCAAAGCAGCCCAAGTTGCCAACAGTTCCAAAAAAGGCCTTATTCTTACAGATGCAGTTCCTAGGAGACAACGCCAGTGAGATACTAACACAACGACTTAGAAATGCGGTAAAAAAAGCATTCTGTGATGCTGAATTACGCTGCATCTTTAAAACCACTCCTCTTCTGCGTTCGGGAGTAAAAGACAAACTGCCTAATTTCGCCTCTTCCATGTTTATCTACCAATTTAACTGCTCCTGTGGAGCCAGTTAGTTGCATAGGCCGTACAATTAGGCGTGTTTCTCATCGAATTTACGAACATCACCCTGCCTGGTTAAGCAAAGGACAAACAAAATCTATTCGCAGCGATATTCTGTCTCATCTTGTGGAGACAGAACACAAGATTGACGTTAATCATGCTTTTACCGCATACTTACGAATCTCAATTTCGCCTTAAGAGTTCGACTTCTAAATATTGCTGAGGCTGTGGGGATCCATATTAACAAGCCTAATTTATGCATCCAAAAGAAGTTAGTTCAGACATTATCATTACCTTGGCCATCCAGGTTTGAATAATCCAGAATTTTTGTGGAATTTCCCTAATTTTAGTTGATATTCTATTCGCTATTATATCTTTATTATTATTATTATTTAAGCATCTTTAATGAACTGTAATTGCATTGATCATCTTGGAGTTAAGCATGCATAAGACCTAGAAGACACCACTAAAGCCTATACATTAAGACAAGGAGAATAAGTATCAATTAACACATGTTTAAAATTGAATTTTTAAGATACCTTATGCAATAAGGAAATTGAGATTTATTATTATTATTATTGTTCCCTTGGGTTCCTAGTGGAACATAGGACTTCAACTACACGCCCCCACTTGCTTCTGTCTTCTGCTGTACTTTTCACTTGCATCCATGTTAGTCCATACTGTTTCAGCTCCTCTTCACACGATCTCCTCAATGTCACCCTTGGACGTCCCACTCGCCGCTTCCCCCTCGGTTTCCACTCAAGCTATGGCCTGACACGCGATGTCACCCGACAGCCTCCTCAGCGAGTGAGTGTCCAATCCATCTCCACCTTCTCATGCATATTTGTTGAGCGATTGGTTCCTGTTTGTTTTGTTTCTTCCCATGGTTTCTTGTTGGTTCTTGTTCTTTCCGGCCATTTGATCTTCAGTATAGAACGGAGACAGCTGTTGATAAAGGTCTGCAACAGGCTGTTGGAAATATTCTTTGTGACCCGCCGCCAACTTTCTGATCCATCCGTATAGAAGAAGTGACTGACTGACTTGACGTTTGTATTGGAAATCCGAATTTTGTTGTTGATGCTGAGGAGTGACAGCGGAAGATTTCCAGATTGGTTTCAGGTTGATGAATGTGTTTCTCGCCTTCCCGATTCTCGTCTCGATTTGACATCTTCGTCCGTTCCATCTGCCTGTAGTTGAGACGATGCTCCCTAGATAAGTGAGTGAATGAAGTAACCTCTTTCAAATCCCTCCCGTTGATGGTGATTGGCACTGGATTTTGTTGCTGTTGATTGGTTACTTTCATAACCTCCGTCGTGTCTATGTTCACCTGGAGTCCAGTCTTTTCCAGCTGCTTCTTCGACCAGTTTGTCGGTTTTCGCTTGTAAGTCTCCGATTTTGTGTGACATCAAACATAAATCATTCACGCGCGAAATCCAGGTCTTCTAGATTCGTCACGTCGGTCCAGGATTTCCCTGTCTTCTCGTTTCCCACTGTCTGAAGCATAATCGAGTCCACCACAATTAGGAATATCATTGGTGATAATCAGCAGCCTTGTCTGACTTCTGTGTTTACTCCAAAAAAACGCCTCGCTGAGTTTTCCGTTGTGGATCACTTGACATGTGCTGTTGTCGTACAGCTGTTGAATAAGGTTGATGAATATGGGAAATAGAGAGTTACTGGCATAACTCAACCTCTTTCTACTTTTACAATTTATTAAGTCATATACGTATATATATGTATTCCTACCCATTCTTCTTTTTATTGTTCTCCTCTTATTCTTCCAGAAAAAGACAACTGAATCTGTTTGCAAGAACTGACACAGACTCATGCTCACGTTCACACCAAAAAAATATTAAGTTGTGTCGGTCAGTCGGTCGGTTTTCGACATAGAACTTTGCACATATGTGCGCCAGTTCAAGTCGCCACACTCCCTCCTTGTAGCACACAAAGCAAGAGAAGAAAGTAGGAGAAATGCATATTAGAGACAGTAAACAGAGGTGTGAGACAAAGGAATAGTAATAACGAAGAACAAAACAGTTTAATTGGAAATCATAAGTCACAAGGAGTGGATGCATCTGCGCCAGCCATTGACAACGATTTTGAGCCATGTCACCAATTGTTTCCAACCATTGGTTTTTACCGTCCCGAGGACCCCAACCAGTCAGGAAGTCTACACCTTCCTACGTGGCTGGCTTAAACTAACTGTTGTAGATTTCATTGACTGGTGAAGCCATGTTTTGGTTTGACCACCGCTAGCTCTTTTCCAGCCTGACCCTATATCAGCTAACATTGCCCATTGTCGAGGAAGGCGATGACTAGGCATTCATTCGTAACACATGTCCTAACCATCTCAGTCGATGTAATTTCACAGCCTCGTCGACTGATTTCCCCGCCTTACCTAGCACTTGACGCCTAACCTCAATATTGCTCACCTTATTATACCACTTCACGCGGGAGATAGAACGCAGACACCTATGATCGAACACAGATAATCTTTTCATGTCTTCCACTCTCAATGGCCAGGTCTCACAGCCATAAAGGAGGACGGAGCGGACTGATGAGCAGTACTCACGCCCTTTGGTTGATAGTCGGATATCACGTCTACGCCAGAGACGGCGTAAACCGGCATATACAAAACTAGCCCTCTGTATTCGTGCTGAGATTTCGTCAGAAATCAACCCGTTGGGGCTGATGGTACTTCCCAAATAAGTGAAGTGGTCAACGTGCTCTACCACTTCACTTCCTATTTTTAATCTATTGGTCGGTGTAGTTCAATCCTGCAACATCATCTTAAATTTTACAGGGGCGAATCGCATGCCAAACGTACGAAGATTGCTGCTCAAGGTGTTCAGAAGACTCTGCATTTTGTCAGCGTCCTCGCCTAGAAGGACTTAAATATAAAAATCTCAACCATACTCTATCTAGCACGGGAGTTGCATGAAGAAAGGATTATAAGAAATGAACTGAAAATCTACGTTATAGTCTAGTATTATTATTTCCTGCATTAACTAACATTCTACTTACTTCAATCTTTGTGGTTATGCATTTTGATTTTATTCGTATAAGGAGGAGTAAAATTGTTGCTTCTTTTAGTTTCACCTTTTTGGCACGATAGGACCAGCGAAAAAACATTAATTCCAGTCAGTGTAGCTGTTTAGGACATTGTGATATGCAAGCCTGAGCACTAACTACATCAGTGTAGCAGCTATCATCGGTTAGGACATCCGTGTCAGGAATATCCATGCCACTTAGTTCGATGTTTAGAAATTTTAATCCAATCTTTAATTTGCTAATTGTGACTTCTTTCACACATACTTGACAGTATGATGGTCGTTTCAAACTGTCTGGAATAACGAATAACTCATTTGGCTTTCTGCCGACAAACTGTGGGTTTGAATCCCGTCCCACCTATCCCCTCCCACTCAAGTCCCTTAGTTGCATCATAACCCCTGGCGCACAACAAGGTATGGTTCACAGCCCAGTACATGAAAAAATTGTTTAGAAAAAAACTGAATTCTAACTGACTAGCTAATATGGTGTGGTGCTGACGTATTCAGTGTTACAATGGCTGAATGGTCTACGAACTAGCCTTGTAACCTGAAGCTTCCGGGTCCGAACTCTGGTGGGCGCGTCTGTCTGTCTGGATTCAACAGAGAACTTGGCAACCAAGTGCAGCAGTTCCAGTTGCCACGTTCCAAATAGCACACAAAGGTAGACAAGACAAGAAGATGAGTGAAGAGAATCAATAGAGTTTTGACGAGTATAAGAGTGAAACAGAATGAGTAATGGTAGAAACGAATATGAGACTGAAGATTACAGAGACATTGACAACGATTTTGAGCCATGTCACCTATTGTCTCCAGCCATTGATTCTTAGAGTCCCGAGGTCGGGCCCCAACCCGGAAGTCTGCATCTCCCTACCTGACTCAGTTTAACTGTCAAGGATTTCATGGATTGATTGATGCCATGTTTTTGTTTGGCCACCACTCACTCTTTTCCAACCTGCACCTATATCAGCTAGTAATGCCCGTCGGCGTGGGGGAGGCGATGGTTAGGCATGCACAGCACGTCACCTAGCCATCTCAACCTATGTAACTTTATAGCCTCTTCGATTGATTTTCCCTCTTTGCCCAACACTCTACGCCTAATGTCAACATTACTTACTTACCTTATTATACCACCTAACGTGAGAAAGAGATCATAGACATCTATGATCATAAACAGTCAACCTTTTCATGTCTTCAACTCGTATTGGCCATGTTTCAGAGCCATAGAGAAGGATGGAGCGAACTCCTGAGCAGTACACACGTCCCTTGGTTGATAGTCGGATGTCACGCCTACTCCAGAGACGGTGTAAGTTAGCAAAAGCAGCCCGAGCTTTTTGGATCTGGTGGGCGAGTACTGCTAGAGAGTCCCAAACTAGGATGAAACAGCTGTCCAGGACTCTTGTGATCAAACCAGTAAGAAAACAAGTCGTTGAGGACAATATATGGCATATAGTCATAAATATTTGAGAGATATTTTCATAGCGTTAAGTAATTAAAATTTAATTGGCTAACTTACCATTTCAAAAAATACACATCCTAAACCAGAAAGTATTGAAGCACATACCACACAGAATAATCCTAAAGGAGGATTATGCGCTGCTGGCTGCAGTGTAGATGTTTTACTGTCACCAGGTGATTCTACTGCTGCAACACCAATAAACAATAGAACTAAAGCGAACCATTGCATAGTACTGACTGGTTTTCGAAGAATAAGCATACTGAATAGTGCTGTTGTGAAAAGTTTCAATTGATAAGCCACCTAAACTAATCGATATATTTTTACTAACAGATTTTTTTTACTTACCTGAAATGTAACAGCATCCAAATTACTTAAAGCTGCTATCAAGAAACGATTCTGTATGACATAGATTATAGCAGGTATAAAATTCATTAATACATCCAATGGGTTGTGCTTCATGAGTTTATAGGTTCTTTTCAAATCTCCAGCATAACTGAGAACAAGAAGACATGTGATAAATTTTACACATTCACTCATTGTAACCATAGATGATGGGATAAAAACTTCGGTGGTTCGTGATCTTGCATGACGCATGCATAAGATATAGAGTAGATTTTGAAATACAAGAATGAATAAGCTTAGATACTTCATTGTTACTGCTTTAAACATTGTTATAAGTGGACGATAGTTTTGGAAGGCCTACAATAAATAATAATAACAATGATAGTAATAATTTGCTTTATTCCAGAAACAGTACTAGTGGTACAGTGTGGAATTTTCAGCACATATCTACAATATTTGCATCTAATTTTATCAAACATTTAAAAGTATTTCGAAAAAAATAAATATAAAGGCACCAACAGCAAAAAAAACAGGAAAAACACAAAATAATTTTTAAAAAATGCGAAAGAGATACCAAGAAGTAGAAAGAAAAATAAACAGCATATAATAATATCTCAGTATTGGGTAGTGGAAGCTATGATATGATTATGCATGGTGACAGTAAAGCTATAGTCATACAAGAAGTTATGAAATGATATTTAAGAATGTTTATAGCCAAGAAGATCAGTTAATTTGGTTGAAACAACACTAAACAATCATAAAATAACATTTCAGTGTTGTTGTTTTGTTTTTCATTGTCAAATCTAATGCGGTGTTTGTAGTGGTAGTGTGAGTAATCCTGAATAATACAAAATTTTTTAAGGTGATGACTAAGGCGTTCACAACCAACGATTGTCAGTTAATATTGCCGAAAAAAATAAAAAATAAAAAACAACAACCACAAAAACTAATAATTACATGATGGTTAATGACAGGATAATTTTGTACTACTCATAGTGCTAATATAGTCGGAACCAGTGGATACACAATAGAAGGAATATAGTAAAGTACATAAAAGTAAGCCAGTGTTAATATTTTAGGTAGCTAAGTATGTTTGAGAAGGAGTTCACAATAGAATACAAAATAAGACAGAAATAAAAGAGCCTAAATTTACGCTGTTAATAACAAAGCAAGTCATAGGTTTCACGCTTAACATTGTCTCTGTCGCTTAGAACACGGAACAAGTATGGTATCGTTGAGTTCCTGTACTTGGTTGTACGAGCATAGATTATTTTATACTGATTTCTGGTTTTACTTGATGAGATACAAGGCGAGAGTTGGGAATAGAGGGGGTGTTGGGGGTCGGAGAGTATGATTCTTGACCATTTTTTGCATGTATTCAGATGTCTTTCAACTGTTGTAGTGAAGAGCTGACTGATTTTTGCACCACTAGTCCTACTGACTACCTTCAACATCCTTCTCAAGATGGTGTAGTCCTCTTTCAGTAGACCAGGAAAGACTAACGGGGAGCAGTAAAGTAGAATAGGTAAGATACAAGAGTTGACAAATTGTGAAAGTAGAGGTTGGGTGATTCCAGATTGTCTAAGTTTCTCAATGTAGTAGGTTAGACAGAAAACTTTCTTAGAAATCATTAGGATATGAGATGTCCAAGTAAGGTCGGAAGATAGAACTAGACCGAGGTATTTTGCATTAGACTTAGTTTTAATTTTAGTCCCCTCAATGCAACAGGCTTCATGAGAACTTACTAGTGTTTGTAGATCTCGTTTATGCCTAAGGGAGAAGTCAATAGTCTGGCATTTTGAGGGATTCAGAATGAGACCATTTAGTTTAGACCACTGACTGATGTCCGACAGGAAGCTAGAATCCAAAGGGATCGAATAACGTGTGGACTTGTTTTCGTCACCGGCAACCAAAGGAACACAACTCCACTGATTGGTAAACCAGACTTGAAGTTAAAGCCTCAGGGTAATTTCTTACGACAAGCATCTGCTCTAGTCTGGGTGTCCGAGCAGTATCGCAGACTTTGCACAGACGATAAAATAGATTTTGTGTGGCGCATCTGTTAGTTCCCACAATGTACTAAGTATTTGTTTTACCAAATAAAATAATCTTGAAAGGTGACTTAAAAAATAGTTATGTTAACGATAAAGGGACATATATTTATATGCTTACAGTTTGGGGTGTGTGTGAGCATTGCCAGTGAATGTTTCAGTGGGCTAGTGGACATCTTACTGATGTGCTCTATATATATTTTCAGTAAAATTTCGCAAATCTGGCAGAAATTTCCCAAGACTAATTGAAATCATTGATATAACACTTATCACTACTGGTGTGTATGAGTGCAATTTATTATACTTTACAATTATATGTGTCTGTTTACGACAGAAAGTTTTGCACGTATGTGCGGCAGTTCAAGTCGCCACACTCCCTCCTTGTAGCATACAAAGCAAGAGAAGAAAGTAGGAGAAATGCATAATATAGACAGTAAACAGAGGTGTGAGACAAAGGTATAGTAATAACGAAAAACAAAACAGTTTCATTGGAAATCATGAGTCACAAGGAGTGGATGCATCTGCGCTAGTCATTGACAACGAATTCGAGCCATGTCACCAATTGTTTCCAACCATTGGTTTTACCGTCCCGAGGACCCCAACTAGTCAGGAAGTCTACACCTTCCTACGTGGCTTAGACTAACTGTTGTAGATTTCATTGACTGGTGCCATGTTTTGGTTTAAGCCAGTGAAGGATGACAATGGAAAGTCAATCACCGAAGAAGTGGAGCAAAGGAAACAGTGGGCTGAACACTTCAAAAGACTACTAAACCGACCGCCACCTACAGCGCGCCCAACAATACCAACAACGGGAGCAGAATTACCAGTGAACATCAACCCCCCGAGGAGAACAGAAGTCCTGAAGGCAATCAAGATGCTGAAAGCTGGAAAAGCAGCAGGACCAGATGGAATCCCAGCAAAGGCATTGAAAGTGGACCCAGAGACAACAGCGGACTTGATGACGCCACTACTGGAGAAGGTGTGGAAAGAAGGCAAAGTACCCGAGGATTGGAAGAAAGGATACTTATTCAAACTACCAAAGAAAGGAGACTTAAGTCAATGCAAGAAGTGGCGCGGAATTATGCTCCTGTCCATCCCAAGCAAAATACTAAGCCGCATCATCCTGGAGAGAATCAAACATGCCGCCTTGGATGAAAAACTTCGACCAGAACAGGCTGGATTCAGGAGAAACAAGTCATGCATTGATCAGATAGCCACATTACTGATCATTACTGAACAAAGCTTGGAATGGCAGTCACCTCTCTATCTCAACTTCACCGACTTTTAAAAGGCCTTCGACAGCGTCGGTTGATAGGTGCTTTGGCGATTACTTCGCTACTACGAGGTGCCACCGACAATTATACAGCTCATCCAACAGCTGTACGACAATGCTGCATGCCAAGTAATCCACAACGGGAAACGTACGGAATCCTTCGAAGTGAGGACAGAAGTAAGACATGGCTGGCTGGCTGCCTACTATCGCCAATGATTTTCCTGATTGCAGTAGACTGGATAATGCGACAAAGAGCGGACCATGAGGAAACAGGCATAAAATGGACTCACACAAAAAAGAACTTGGAAGATCTGGACTTCGCCGATGATATATGTCTGATTTCCCACAAACTGGAAGATATGCAAGTGAAAAGTAACAAGTTGGCAGAAGAAGCATCAAAGATAGGACTCCAGGTGAACATAGAGAAAACGGAGGTGATGAAGATTCCTGGCCAACACCAACAGCCACAGCAACAACAACAGACAACAATCAGCATAAATGGAACGAACATGAAAGAAACTACCTCCTTTACCTACTTAGGAAACATTGTTTCAACTACAGGCGGAACTGACGAGGATATCAAAGCAAGGATCGGGAAAGCAAGGCAAGCTTTCATTACTCTCAAGTCTGTGTGGAGGTCAACAGCATTCAGCGTCAAAAATAAGATCCGGATTTTCAACTCCAATGTGAAGTCAGTACTACTATACGGATCAGAGACTTGGCGTGTCACAAAGAGCACCTCAAACAAGCTACAGACCTTCATTAACAGATGTCTTCGCTCAATACTCAAGATCAGATGGCCGGAAAGGATCAGCAACAAAGATCTCTGGGAGCGAACCAACCAGGAAACGATTGTGAAACAAATAGGCAGGAAGAAATGGAGATGGATTGGCCACACTCTGAGGAAACCAGCAAGTGACATCACTAGACAGGCCCTCGAGTGGAACCCGAAAGGGAAGCGACGAGTTGGTCGTCCAAGGGTGACCTGGAGGAGATCATGTGAAGAAGAATTGAAAGCGTATGGGCAGACTTGGAGCCAGGTGAAACCTCTAGCAGAGAACCGAACGCAATGGAGACGCATGGCTGAAGCCCTATGTTCCTCTAGGAACTAAAGGAAAGAATAATAATATAATAATAATGTTTTGGTTTGACCAACGCTAGCTGTTTTCCAGCCTGACTCTATATCAGCTAACATTGCCCGTCGAGGAAGGCGATGACTAGGCATACGTAACACATATCCTAACCATCTTAGTCGATGTAATTTCACAGCCTTCTTTACACTCATATATTAAGTAGGAGGGTAATATGGTGACTGAAAAGCAATCTAATATATGGAAATCAGAAGTGGTAAATAAGAGGATGAGTAAATAAAGAAAAGAAATTTACAAGAGCCTCTAACTCTATATGATAGATTACAAATCATATCATTTAGTCGTAAATTATCGACATTCATCTCTGAAAGGATCTAAGATTAGCAAATCTTGCTCATTGTTTTTTTATCTCAGACTGAAAGCACTCTCCACAGTTGATGTAATGTTCGACCATCCTTAACTAAATCGTAGCTTAATACTGTCACGCATACTGGCAAAAGACCCGACCGATAGCTGCTACCTTGACGTGGTGGTCGGGCTTGCATATCGCAATGACCCAACGAGCTACACTGGCTGGAACTTATGTTCCTGCAGGTCCTACCATGCCAGAAAGGTTGTTTGGATAGCGGTTAGACAAAAAGCAGCTACCCAATCCAATACTATGATTCAAACAAATTCACAAAATATCATGCCGGATCGGTCGGGGCCCGGATTAACAACGACCGCGCTTCCTGCTTCTGTGTCACATGGTAGAAGTGATAAATATGCTACTGAGACACACCAAACAAAAAAGAACAAACGAAAACAGGCCGCGTGTGACTGGCCTCAAGCAGTTGTCCCTGGGCTCTGCGGTCACGCAACACTCTTTCTGTTTCACGTTCCCGAAGAATCAATGAACTTCCACGGTGTGGGAAGCCGGGAAGTAACAACCGCCCACACATTTCCAAAAGCACACGAAGCCTACCTGAGCATCACTCTCTCTTACTCACATCACCTTCCTTATCTTGCTTCTCTACTACAGTTAGCACTATTCTGCAGGCAAAAGAAACGTGACTGCATTTTAAGCATACCTTACCCGTATCAAAAGAGTATATATAACAGTTAACTGGTTCACCTATATTACATGAGACTACAGGTCTTAACTATACTATGCTATACTAGCTTGATGGTTTTGTAACCTGCAAGCAATGCAACGAAGGTAATGGGGACCGGATATTTGAAATTTTAAGTCTTCAGTCCTCAATGGGTCTCACAGTCTTATGATGAAGCGAAAAGGCACTCCTGCAGAGTATATTAATTTTTGGAAAGATATTTTTTTTTAGTTTTTAACTTATGAAAGTCAGTGGAATTTTCCCGTTCAAGTGATCAATGCATTTAACTACTACATTTTCTGAAATGTAAGAGGAGCTTGGACATTATGGGTAGTATAACATTTTGTATTAGTCTTCTTACGAAGATATGCATTTGCACATTGTATATGAAATTCCATGGAAAAAAAGTAAAACTATTTCGTTTTATGTGGAATAAACGAACTGATATGGAATTTCTTCACTTTGTATTGACACACCAGTTTTAAAGAGAGACATTTTACATTTGCATATCTTAAAGACTGAATTGTCTCAGCATCCACATACATCGTATTTAGTTAGCATCAGTGTAATATACAACTACCTATGAAACTGTAAGTATACTGGGAAGTATTCCACTCTGTATCCGACTATACAGCCAGGGCATGTGCACTAAAATTTAACTGACAAGTTGACGCCTAACTTTACCAAGACGAGATGTGGGTTATGGTAGAGATATAAACTGAAGAGAGTGATAAGTTTAATCATATCGGAAACACGGAGTTGGCCAACTCCCCCTAGATTGAATCCCACTAAACCACTGGGAGTGCCGGACTTTTGTATATACGTTTTAGTTTTCTGAATAGAGTCACTTTGCTATTATCTTGTTTGCTTAAAATATGTGCCTTGTGGAGTGTTATACGTAGATATGTGACGTTTTTAAAAAATGGAGACTTAGTGTATGATTATAAGGTTTAAAATTGGCGTACCAGGTTAAAAGTACTTCTTGTTTTTTTTTACACATGGACTAGTTGACGCAAAACTTAAGTTTAGTCGAGAATTCCAGAATAAAAAGCTTGGGAAGATACACTGCATTTCTCCAAAGCCCCAAAATTATCCCAAACTGTCTAATAAGGTTCGGGCAAAACTGCGGGAACATCAGGTAAGCACATTCCAATTCTCAAAGTTCTTCCAAACGTTCCATTACTTCGGTGGAATTTTATAAAATTCCAGATTTCAGATTTATTGGTTGAGGACAGAAGGCTTGGAGCCGATGTTAATCCCTTTCTAGTAAATCTATACATATCTGTAAAAGAACGTTCTTTTACAGATTGTTAATCACTTAAATTCTGTAAGGATAAGATGAGCCGGCAAAAATCTAGCATTCACCGTCCCCAGTGTTAAGGATGGTATTTAAGTTAAGCTATAACTTACTGAATTATGATGACTTTATTAACTTTCCGTGAAAGCATATTAATTCAAAGCCTTTTTTAAATGTTTGATTGCAAAAAACATCAAAAAGAAGAAATGTATATGTTTAAGGGCAGGAGAAATTCACAGTTGAAACAGAGGCACCTACTGTAAATATTTAGTATTGTTGCGCAGCAAGAGAACAAATGACCTTGCTAATTCAAATTTTGACACTGACACATGTTTGAAGTACGTTCAACGCCAGCTTTAGAAAAATAATTGGATATTTTTCCTGTACAAGTATAATGTTACCCTTAGAAATCGATGGGAAAGTGAAATCTTTCTTAATTTTTACAGAAATTGTCGGCTTTAGCTACTCCTCATCAAAACTAAGTGGTGCACGCTCCATGGTAAAGAATAAACACTAAAGAAACTGAGGTCAATTAAAAAGTACCCAAATTAGCTTTTAGCCTACTCGCACATAATCCAGGTGCTTTGGATTCTATTTCTAGTGATAGACACCCTATCAGACTAGGATGCTATTTAACTCTCTTCCCCGGTGCGTCACTTCTAATGAAGTGAATAATCACCATGAATTCTGAGATGTAATCAAAATAACCAGTATCTCCAGGAAAAGGTACGTCCAACGAAGTAAGAAAAGTACACCACAGAGGCTTGTTGTCCACAAACGCGGGTCAGTAGCAGCCTGTTACATATAGCTGAGTTGTTTGGCTTCTAGGCACGTATCTACTTGTACGTAGCAAAAAGTGCTGTATGGAATTTTATTAGGTTCATGTTTCCTTGAGAAGACGGCAGGATGGAGGACTTTGTCTCCTTTTTTATTTCAGTATTGCTTCTACAACTACGTGTGATACATTCTCCTGCAATGTAAGAGATGTTTCTAGGTCTAAGCGCTATAACACAATTATTCAAAACAGCACTTTCACGTCCTTATGGGTTTCTGTCCTAAAATTGAATCTGTTGTAATTTCCCTTGTCATTTGTCAAGATTCATGCAATAGAGAGGCATGAAATAACAAACCCCAACAAATGCCGAGATTTCTTCAGGGAAATTTTCAACTGCTGCAAGCTTTCCCTTCATTGTCTCTACACCATTAAGTTAAGTCAAATATCCCGAGAATTTCATTACGGAAGCCACGGATATACGTTTTCTGCGTTTGAAAAACAGACCTCATTACCACGAAGGTTAGTATAAAACACCGGGGTGTGATATCAACATGTATATAAGTTGAAAGTGACAAATAAATAGTCTCATATGAATGGTAGGCGTTTACATAAGGATCACCGATGGTCGTATAACAGTAGTGTTCGGCGAGACAGAACCAATATTAGATTAGTGGGCTGCCATGGTATTTAAATATATCAGCTAAAAGTCTAGGAAACCAGTTATTTACACCGCTTGAACGACTCTAATCTCGTTTCCAGTTGTTGTGAAATGCAGATAAGTTTCATGTTTGTTGTGTGGCCAGCTGCCCTGCGAGACCTGCGCTTTGGTGACATTTCCTGCTAACTTTTGCTGCCTTCCTAACCTGGTGGCAAGTTCTCCCTTAAGAGTGTCCCAAGTAGCTACGAGAGAATGCAATACTTACGGTTGTTAATGGATGCGCCTATATAACTACATCATGGGGAGAATATGGGCATACACAATCACAGCTACCGCGCCCTTATTGCCTGAAAATCCAATTAAGTGTTAGGTGTTTTTATGTCTATTACTACAGATGAACAAACCGACCGTTGAGGGTAGACAGATGAAGTTGAACTGAATTCATGAGTTGATCTGATCCTCTTGTAACGCGAGAAGACAAAAGGCTAATTTGCGATTCGATATGCGCTTATAAGGAGATTACTTGTATCACACATGAAATCCAGTGTTTTCAGATATCTTCCTAGTTCTTCTCTAGGAAACCAATGAGTTAGGCTGGTTGAACGACTTATAACTCGTTTTCACTTGGTTTCGACTAGGTACAATGGTCACGATTGATCTATGATTATCATTCCCGCTAGACGTGGGCGCTGGCCACACTACCTGCTGGCTCTTTAGCCTGGCTCACCCAACCTAGTGGCCAGACTGCTCTTAACATCGCCTCAACTAGCAAAGGGAGAACATAACACTTACTGTTGCTGAAAAGTGTAGAGATGTGAAGAGTGTACAAGTAGATAACTATACAAAAATGAAGCTGCTGAGCTGTTGTCCCTTGGAAGTTATATTGACCACCATGGGTTCCAGTCCTCACAGATAAAAAATTGATCATTGGGACTGAAATGGCTGAGGTTAGTTTGAGTTGACTAACTCCTTTGATCCCCTACAGTTCTACTTCTACAGCTGATATTGTTTGTCTTGATCTTCAGTTTATGTCTAACACGTTTTGTAGAAATACTGTTTCATTTCCTCTCTCTGACGTCCAGTTTATCTCTCAGCTATTCCGTTATTCTGCGCTGGTGAAATTCCCTGTATATACAACTGATAAATCTTTTCAGTAGCACACGTCACACTCCACACTGGAAACAGAATCCCGGTGTTTAACTCACTACCTCAAACTTTTTTCGATGGACGAGATTTTTGTGAACGTGAGCCACTGGGACATGAATTCTGCGATTCGCGCCACCGAGGATGAAATCGTGTTTTTGTTTGTTTTTAACCGACTGTATTAACTCACTGAGTGTTTTCCTTACTTCTTTTGTTGTACGCCTAGCGTGAAGAATAGCCAGAACACTCTTCGATTTCATGTGCCTTTCTCCTAACAATGGTCAGTGATTCTAATTAGGTTCAATGGTAGGACTTCTCACCACTAGTAAATTGTGAGTTAAGTTAAATGATGTTAAAGTATCTGTCGGTGCAACTCTAATTCATCATCTCAGAGATTTTACTAAGGCGGTTCTCACAATTTTGCCGATGGTATCGGGAGGTTTGCAGCCTCTGGTAATTTTATAACTTTATCAAGAACCAACTCCAAAGTCTCTTCCTGGAGGGAGGCGTACCAACTCTTCAAACAGGATTCAGCTAAATTAGACAAGAAGTAGCTCAAGTATGTAGCTACCATTTAATGTTAACTAAAACTTTCTGAAAGTAATTCATGTACCCATATGAAAGTTATGTAACTAGACGTTGTTTTTTGAACGTCTTCTTGTTCACTCAGCGACCAACCACAGCCTACTTGTTACGAACTTTTTAAGCTGTACTTTGTCAGCAATACACAATCCAAAGTCATATCTTTCAGTTTCAATATAACGTTGCCATATTCTAATTAGATGAAACGTTGCGTGTAATAAAAACCATAAACATCTGGTTAAAGCTTATTATGCTACAAAGACGTCAAATCCTGGTCCAAAAAATTTGCAATGATAGAGGTAGGTGAGTATCCATAAACAGATTGCAAAGAAGCAGCACATATAACATCCACAGGACTAAAGACCCTACTCCCATATACACAATCTTTGAGAGTCACTGTAAAGTAGAAGTCATTCGTCTCACCTTTTATTTTCACTCTGGCTGTTGACCACAGAATGTATGTAAGCAGGCCTGTAAATGTGTTGGGTAAATGTAGACTTGATTCGGTCTGACCACATTCCACAGATACTTGTGTGTATGTATCATAACGTGTTCACACGCGTTCTCTAGTAGTAGGTTTCTACATTGGGCCTTTCAAAGGCCTTTAGAGACTGCGGGTATCGACGTTCGCGAGTTATACGGATTATACTAACGCAAGGTCTTATACCAACAACTTCTATAGTGTTCGTTCTTCGAGTACCAAATGGTAAAGCAAAAGACCAGATTTTGTCGTCCAAAGTACGTATTATATTTCGGGACAAAATCGCGGGTAGAGGTGAATGCTTAGCTAGCTAGTAATCGTGCACGCACGTGACACGACGGAGCACCAAATGGCGGGGATGCTTGACCGTAAGCCTTCAGCTAAACAAGTCGACTTAAACAGTGATGGTCAGCATCCAATGTTGAGTGATGATTGCTGTGGTCAATAATTTTGGGGAATTATTTACCGCTACAGCTCACTCCCCCCCCTAGTGGGGTTGTGAGGACCCTAAGACATGACCAGCCGGAAGTAAAAAAATCTCGATGGTTCCCTGATGGGTGAAGAAAATCTTCCAAGCGACTTGATGGAGAGCCTGCTGGTCTGTCTGCCTATGCTAATGGGGTGTCTGTACATAGCTTCCTCGATGTTGTTCGTTGGATCCCGTGCTTCGTTTGTTTCCTGTCCAGTGCCCGTTGCACCTGGAAAAGAAAACAAGAATGCTGAGAACCTTGTCAAGAAAAATGTACCAAATAAGCGTTTTTTTTACCAAAAAATGACATGCATCTACTATACAGTAAAATAATGTAAAGTTCAAAATATCGGGAAAAAAATATACATCTAATTTAATTTTTTTTCCAAGTGCATGTTTAATGTACGGTTATAGGAAAAATATCGTTTACTTGTGTTAAATGATGCAACATAAAAAATTGATGTGTCACTCAGTTATGTGAAATAGGTGTGAAGGTATTCTGGGAATCTAACGTGACGTCCAGAACGCGTTTTCTTAGAGTGATCGACCGAAGTAGTCAGTGGGCGAATGCCCTGACAGTCAATAGTGTGACCCAGAAAATCGAGTGAGTCAACGCCTATTTGACACTTCTGTATATTGATGGTAACAACATGTTGGCGTAACCTTTCAGATGCCAAGTCGAAGTGTCTAAGGTGAGTTTCCTTATCTGGACTGGCAATGAGGCAGTCGTCTAAGTATGCGTATACAAAGTCGAGACCGCGAAATACTTCATCGATGAAGCGTTGGAATGTTTGGGCCGCATTCCGGAGGCCAAATGGCATACGTGGGAATTCGAAAAGTCCGAAAGGCGTGATGATAGCCGTTTTCGGAATATCTTCCGTTGCCATCGGGATTTGGTTATATGCTTTAACCAAGTCGATTTTGGAGAATATGGATGCTCCAGATAACGTTGCCGTCAAGTCGTGTATGTGAGGCAATGGGTAGCAATCAGGGGTTGTTTTGGCGTTCACTCGCCGGTAATCACCAGTGGGTCGCCAATCGTTACTATCCTTTTTCGGTACCATATGCAATGGGGATGCCCATGGACTATTCGATGGTCGAATGATGCCAAGGGTGAGCATATGATCGAATTCATTTCTGGCAATTCTCAGTTTGTCAGGGGCCAGTCGTCGTGCTTTAGATGTCACGGGCTGTCCTG